AGTATCTATCAAAGCAGTATCTGAGAGACACTAATGCTTAAGACTCAGCTAGGTGGTTTGAATCCCCCAGGCCTGGCTTCTAAAAGGGACTACCTTGAAAATGCCATCGAGCAGTTCTGCTCTGCACTGCACACACGGGTCCCCAAGCCAGAATCCCCTGGATAGTGACTCAATGACAAGAACATAGATCAAGTATGTGCTAAGCACTCTATCAGGTGCTTTAGATGTGGTATTGTATTTAAGTTCATACTAGTCCCATGAGAAAGGTGAGCCATATGATTCACTTATGCTCATTCATGAGTATAAAATTCATTTCCTTAGAATTACAGGAAAAATATGCTATCAGTCTGTGAATGTCTATCTATTGCATCGGAGAGCTTAAGACTTTAGCCATAATTTTATACTGGACAACCTTAAAAAACACAGTTCTTGACATTTTCTGGAGAAAAATACATGGATATATCTATATACATATATCTGCATATAAATGTATATATACAACAAACTTATGAATTCAACAATGAAACTATTAGAACCTCAGGAAGTGTTGTAATGAATTCTCACAGAATTATTAAATTGCATCACAAACTGAGTATATGTATTTATATATACTCATAAATATCAAGACAATATTTACATTCAGTTTATATAGCAATGCATGTATATATGTGTGCATAGTTCTTAAAATATAGACAAAGAAACACATTTTAATGTTGATATAAAGTAATTATGACAGTAGAGGCAGAAAACCTCCTACTTTATAAGACAGAAAACAAAAGGTTCCATTTTTCTCCATTTCCGACTTTTTAAAATGCTGTTTTATATAGCATACTTTGGGATAATGGAAACATATTTTTCAGAGTTTCCTCAAGCTTCGTAACTAGTAGTTGCTAGTGAAAAAACTGTGAGACTGGTCTGAAAGTGCAATGTTAAATGTTAAAGCAAGTCTCCAAGCAGCATAGCCATTTTAGGATTTTTTTCAGGAAAAAAAAAAAGAAGAAGTCTACAGAGTGGGAATAAACCTACTGCTAACCTTTTGCAAACTAGCAACAGGGAAGATGCATGGAAAATGCATCTTAAAAGGTACACTGTTAGGTGGTTAGATGATCAGAACTACTCCATCTGAGCAGATGAAGTCCCAGGAGGCATGCTGGGCTTGGCAGATGCCGGTCTGGGGCTGCAAAGAGAAAGGCCTCCCTTCCTCTCGGCAGAATCAGCCTCTCGATCAGAATCCATGGCTGCAGTGTGGGACCCGCGCTGCGCTGCAGTAGCCACCGCACCTCACCTCAGCACGTCCATGTACTGTACACATCTGTACAACCATTCACAGCAAGCCTGCTGGGAATATTAGCAAGAATGTCCATCACTTGGGGGAAGGAGTGTTTATGTTGCTATGTTGTTAATAATGATTTAATTTTTAAAACCTGAACCTGGTCCCCCAGGTTATATTAAGAAACACTTTCAAGTAAAGGACAGAGTAGAACTACCCCTAAGGGGTACATGTTTACCAAAGCAAAGCACATTGCCTCCACTTTTCCCATAGAATGAGGGAGGGTGTGAACTGCCCGATATCAGCCCACTGCGCTGTGTGTGTGTGTGTGTGTGTGTATCAGAATGGTACAAATCGTTTGTACTCAGCTGTCAACTGAAAGCAAATACAGGCCACATTGTTTAGAAGCACGCCCTCACTCCCATACGACACAGATATAACAGGAGCCACTACATCTCCTATCAGTCCTTCCGAGTGAGAAGTGACTGAAAAATCAACCAGCAATCCAGGTCACAGAGTTGAACACGCTACAGGAAGTTCGTGAGTGTGGTGGATAGACATAGCCTGCCCAGACGTTCTTCCACAGCACTGCCAGCCATCAGCTGGGTCATGAACTCTAAACTGTGCCACCTGAGACCTATCGGAGGGACAGTGAGCAGTGTACCTGCTGCTTCCTGGGCCTGTCACTCACTCACCAATCTGCTTTACAGGATATTAATTCTGCCCAGTTTTCAAGCTGTGTAATAATCAGCCCATCAGGGCGCTGACTAGGGCACGGTGCTTTCTCCAGGCTACGTAGCGGGAGGGAAGTCAATACAGTAGAAGGCCGGACCTCAACGCCAATCCGTTCCAGAAGGAGCGTCAAGATGAGATGCCGCCGAGTTCCAAATCAGTTTCCCTTAAGAAATAACTGAAAATGGATTCATCTGTTCATGACCACCAAGGTTTTACCCTAACCTTGCCTTTTTATACAAAACCTTATGCAGAAATGTAAAGTAAATAAGTTCAGAGTTGAATAATATAATTTAAATAAGAAACACAACATTAAAAAAGTTTACAACATACCTTGAGACTGATGAGGATCTGGATCTGTGGACACGGACGTGGAGAGGAGGGGTGGAGAGAGTCATTGTTTGGAAGGGGAATCCCCTTCCATCAAATCAACTGGTCGCTGCTTTTCAGGAGTTTTTTCCCTTCTTTGCCTTTTTTCACTAGGACCTGGCTGGCTTTCCTTTTAAAAAAATCTGTCTGATGTGGTCTGCTGTTGGCGTTTCCTTAACTGTTTTCTAAAAGCAGTTACTAAATTATCATCAACAATATCGATGACATGGTTAACCAGTTCCTTATCATGATGATTCTTTCCTAAAAACTCTTTCTTAAGACCCATGTTTTTAATCTAAAAACAGTACAAAAAGCCGCAAAAAAACAAAGAAAATTATAGCAAAACGCATGGAACACAGCTGCAAAAGGTTTAAATAACTCGTACTAAAAACGCCAAGTAACGCCACATGACCGAAAGACGAACTGCTTTTGCTGACAGATATCACGTGCGTTGGGTCGGATTCCGATGTTTTGTTCGAGCTCCGACGCAAGGTGTTCTCAGATTATGTCGAGTTCTGCTGCGTCGAGGACCGGGGTTCTACTCTGCCGTGGGGGCAGATGTGCACGAGGAGTGGAGGGGTCCCAGACGGTGGTCAGGGTACAGTCAGAAGGTCAATGACTCCTAGGCCAGCCGCACTGCCGGGGGGCCTCCGGCACCCAAAGGCTGGAGGAGGGCCAGCACCAGGAGCATGAGGCTAAGCCAGTCTGGGTACTTGCCCATCAGGAGCAGCGCATGCGTCAGCTACTCCTTATCACCTACCAATCACGATGACTCACTTTGATTATATTTCTGCTCATGAATAATGGTAGCGTTCCAGGAGAATTCTCCTTATCCCCAAAATAGGTTTAAGAATGATTTGATTTTTTAAAATTCAATAACAACTATTTTACAAAGATTACATTTTTAAAAAACAGTTGTTAGAAATTGCATCATATATGCCTCTATTTCTTCAGGTGCACAACATTTTCTTTCAAACAAAACAGACTTTTATTTTAGCCAAAAACATTTGATTAAATCTCTATATTAAGAAGAATAAAAGAATATTGAAATACAGATATTAAGGAAATACAGATATTAAGCACAAGTAAAATAAAATTAATTACTATATCTAATAAGTAGTGGACTTTGCTGATGTCATATTCATCCATTCATCCATTTATGAGTTACTCTGAAAGTCCAAACCATACAAAAGTTTCAAGATTTTTTTTTGTGGTAAGCTTGGTTTGTAATTGAAACACTAGTAGGTGATAACAAATCACCTAGCTTCAAAGCAAATTTACTGTTAGTTTGCTACTGACCTTATTTATCTCTACAACCACCTCACCAAGTAGAATAATCTCTCCTTTTCCCAGACTCCCACCCTTACCGCTGAGTCAGTTCCCACTCACAGTGACCCTTCAGGACAGAGGAGAAGTGCTCCTTAGAGTTTCTGAGACTACTGAGCTTTACAGGAGCAGATTTTCCCCCCATGTTGAGCAACAAGTGGGTTTGAACTATTAGCCATCTGTTTACCAGCCTGCTGCAGACACAACTGCAATTCCAGGGTTCCTTTTTACAAATAAGGAAATCATTATATACCAGCATGGTAGAGAATCTGAGCATTTGCAAAGCTCTCAAGATATAGTCCTTGAAATTGTCAATAATCTATATTAATTTTAAAACATGGACTCCACTATAGAATTACTAATACATTCAAATGATTTTATTTCATTCTTCACTAGCAAAACTACTCATTAACAGTAAAATGACACACAACTTTGACAGTCTGCAAACACATCTCAAAAATCAGTCAATGAGGCATCAAATATCTAACTGAATATTAAATAGTAACAACATATTTAATAGCCTTAGTTGTATAAAAAATAAAAGCTCAGGATCTCCGTCTTCTCATTAACAAATGGTACTAAATTCTCATCTCGTCACTGTGGAGAAAGCTATCACAGGGAAGGGTATGTGTAGGTGTAGCAATTTTTGTTTTCCTAAAAGCATTGGATTTAAAATTTTTAATTCTATATTAAGATTCTGTGAAAGACATTTGGGTTGCCCTAAATGTTAACCTAACATAAACTCACTATATGATTACAGTGAATAAATTTGTAAAAGTCATACAGTTTCTGTGGCCATCAGTTAAGCTTGAAAATAAAATAAGAATATGCAATAATATCATTAATATTCACCCAGCTTTTAAATAATACAAAAATCCTGTTGTGCAATGGTTTGCCTCTAAGCACTTTTTATTTTAACTAATTGTATTTACCAGAATATACAGAACCGATTCAAAGGTTCCTTAAACTGAACAGCTATGGCAAACATTGCAAACGATAAAATAACTGTTGAATGAAATGGGAGAAACTATGCAAAATGACCCTTGCTAGCTAATGAATATTCCAGATCTGTACAGAACAGCAACTCAGTAGAAGGTCTTAAAATAAGTTTATATGAAATAGAGTAAATCCAGAAATCTTATTTCAGTGTTAAAATGATATATGTTAGGTATCAACTATGAAATTAACACAATCCATTAGTCTGCAAAATGAATTCATGCTTAAAAGTAAAAATCTGCCTGGTGCCTAAATAATAGTGACAAACGTTAACTCTTGCTGAACGAACGATGTTGTATGCGGCTCTTCAATTCCACTGGCAGGTGCAGTCCATGGGTTCTTGGAGCGTATACATGACTTCAGTGCCATTTCCTGAGCAATGGAGTGGCACGGTTAGGTTTCGAACGCCATTTTCTCGACAGCACTTGCAGAATCGTAGGTGACTCTCAATGTTGATGTTATATATAGTAGCTGATGGACACTTTCCATCACAAGAAGCGACATTTATCTAGAAGAAGACATCATAGGAAAATAAAAAGTCTTAAGAACACTAATAGATGTTCGTTTTCACTAAGGAAGCAGGTAAAATCAAAGTCTTCCTCATCACGACAACTCTCAACCTTCTAGAGATCAGTAGCTGTCAGAAAGCACTAAACTGAAACATAACTCCAGTAAATCAAAGGGGACAGTCAATTGTCACACTCAACAAAGCAGTGCTACCATAACTCAGGGCAAAAATGCATACTCATAACTAGGTAGGAGTATGAACTACATATATTAGAGTTCTCTGAGTGGCACAAAACAATTATACACAGAAGACTCATCAAAAGTTGGCAATTTGAAGTCACCCAGAGAGACATTTAAGAAGATAGACCTGATTAGTGATCACAGTCTTGAAAAACCTACAGAGCAAATCTCTGCACACATAGGGTGCCATCGGTTGGAAGTAGCTCAATGATAGCAGCAACGTGGAAGGCCTTAGTAACAGCTTAGTCATTCTGTTGGAGGCAGGCCACTCTCATTCTAAAGGGGACAGGCTGGGAAGCTGGACTTTTTTTTGGCTGAACAGAAATGCATACTTAAAGAAATAAGTAGTCAAGTATACTTATTTAATTTCTTTATGTCCAGATTAGCTGCATCATTCAGAACTATTTATTATGTCAACGAAGAATAATTCATTCAAAATCATTCATAAATAATTTTAATGAATTTGTTTAGGTTTTCTTTATTTTTGTTTACATTGTAAGATTTATCTCAGTGATATGTGTTACCATTCTGCTGGCTTACAAATGTATTATACTATAACACATATATTTCTGGAAACACATGGCCTGTCCACACAAAGGGGTAATTTCCCACTTACAGAGCTTTGACTGGTGCAGTCCTGAATCCTGATCACTGTTTTAATAATCGCTCTCTGGCATACCCTTTCATCTCGTTTGCCTGGTGAAACATATAATATAGTATTCATCCAAAGGCCTGAGTCAAATTGTTTCTTAAGTAAACTAAATAATAAATTAATTGCATACAATTAGTTATTTATTTAATTGCATTAAAAATAATGTTCTTATAAAAACATATTGCTGCATTGATACATATTTATAATATTTACTCAGATATTTTATGTACAAAGTTTATTTTCACATTATAAATGAATTTTCCCTGATATGTCTTAGATTTGTATAGCTCATCTTCTTTTCTTAAAATGATTGTCATAATCATAAATTTGAAAGCATTCAACACATAAAATAATACCATCTACTTGTATGTGGTATATTGGTGTCTAGACTAATATCTGAAGTAAACCACAGTATGTGGAAATAAGCAAATTCATGTGTTTTATATGCATAAATCAGGATGAATTTCAGAACCCATTTCCTAGGATTATTGTGAATAAAAAATAGTGTTTAGGAAACTTAGCAGAGTTCTTGATTTATACACTGTTACTGTGCTCAGTAGTGCATATTATAAATATGTCATATCACTATTTAATGTATCCTATTATTTGTGCCACATGATTATTACAGCTCTAAATAGACAAGAACACTTAGATATTTATGGGATTTAGCCCTTCATTAAAGGAATTAAAAAAAACATGACATATATCCAGCAATTTGTATCTAAAAATCCCATTCTACAATATGGTAATATTAACCAAGACCATGGTGTGGCCCTCTTTCAGAATGCTTCTCTGGACAATTTAAACAATACTATCCACCTCAATTTCCCTACAACTTACACTGTTATTTTTATGCTAGCTCACAGATACTTTGCAAAACAAAACACACAAAATAAAAATGGCTACATGATACCTCTTCTATTTCAGTCTTAAAAATCATTCAAAGCCACTGTAAAATCAATCTTAAAATTCAAACTAATGTAAAATATATTCCATGCACAAAAATTTATCAAAAAAGTATTAGAACTTTTGTAATCGCTCTTTAAACAATTTACTAAAATGAAATTTCCCAAGTGCATTATACAGAACAACAGACTTTCAATGTATTAAAAGATGTGGATTGGGTTTGTGAATAACCTTGCAATCATGTAGAATTCTTTGGAAAACTGGATTGTTGCAGATGCAGGTAGGTTAAAATTTAGCCCCATATCATGTGATCTCCCTTATGATCCATTTAAATTTATTCTAGTTTTCAATATTTATTGCTTTCTTTTCAATTTGGGTGTTTATCTCTTTTACTTTGTTATTGTTGTATTAGGTTGCTGCTTTAAAATGTGTTTCTGTATATGTTATTCAAGATAGGTAAATCTACAGAGACAGTAACTGGATTAACGGTACCTCTGGGGTATGGCAGGGGATGGAGAGGTGGGGGAAATTGGGAGCTAATAACGAGGAGCATAAAAATAAAGAAAGATAAGAGTATGTGGTGTTAAAGGCTTGGAGTTAAATAAGTGGTTTTCTAGCAGGGAAGCAACACAGCCCACCTGGAAGAAGCACACCAGCCTGTGTGATCACGAGGCGTCGATGGTTTCAGGTATCAGGCATCAGAAGACCCAAAACAATCATATGGATGTGAATGAGCGGGGTCGGAGTGGAGACCCAAAGCCCATCTGTAGACAATTGGACATCCCCTCACAGAGGGGTCATAAGGAAGGGACGAGCCAGCCAGGGTGCAGTACAGCACCAAAGAAACAACATTCCTCTAGTTCTTTAATGCCTCCTCCCCTCCAAAATCTGGACCACAGTTGAGAGCTCTGGACACATGGAACCCAGGATAGATAAAGCCCTTAGGAACAATAATGGGAGTAGCGATACCAGGAGGGTGGTGGGAAAGTGAGGGGAGAGGCGGGGAAAGGGGAACTGATGGCAATGATCAATGTATAACCCCCCACCCCCCTGGGGGAAGAACAACAGAACAGTGGGCAAAAGGAGAGAGCGGACAGTGTAAAACATGAAAACAATAAAAATGTATAATTTATTAAGGGTTCACAAGGTTGGGAGGGAGGAGGGGGGGGAAGGACCTGATACCAAGGGCTCAAGTAGAAAGAAAATATTTTGAAAAGGATGATGGCAACTTATGTACAAATGTGCTTGATACAACTGATGTATGGATTGTGATAAGAGCTGTAAGAGCCCCCAATAAAATGGTTTATTAAAAAAAAAGAAAAGAAAAATGTTCTAAAACTGATTGTCATGACGATTGCACAACCCTCTGGACGCTGATCTTGTGGTTGGCCGCTAGCGGCATTCATAAAGGATACTGTAAACTGTACTAACATGTTGTGCTATGGAACTCCAGTGGCTTAGTGGGTTACATGATAGGCAACTAAAGTTTACAGTTCACACCTACCGGCACCTCTGCAGAAGAAAGCTGAGACTACAGTCTCAGAAACCTGCAGCAGTTTTTCTCTGTCGTAGAGGGTCACTATGATATATCTGAATTGACTTAATAGCCATCAGGGATGGAGAGGATTATGCAATATATTTTAGAAAAGGAAACTGAAGAAATTGCCATACTCCAGTTACAATTTATTTAAATTAAAAATATTTTAATCACACTCCAGAGGATAATGACTAAATTACAAGCTAGCAACTGTATGACACAGCTGATTTAAATATTATTCATTATATAATTTATTAGTCTCCTTGCATCTATGAACTGAAGAGCATCCAAAGTCTGCATACTAGCAATCATGTAATATATCTCACTTACAGATCTTGCAACAGCCTTTATTATAAAGCTTTACAACCCCTTCATTCTAGAAAGAGAAAATACATATAATTAAAATAACATTCTTCGATTTTCTACTATGTCAGAAATAATAATTAAAAAAATCTTTCCAATATTTTTATTCAATAAATTGCAAATATATATATTTATAGAAAATCACTGGTGTTTTATTTCTAATGATTTCTTTGTTCATGAACTTAAGTACAGATATTCAGATGAAAAATAAATCATCTCTAAATTAGTAAAATGAACAAGAGTATAGGAAAATAAATACTAAAACTAAAATCAGCAACGAGGAAGACGTAGAGATCCTGAGGGTGTTGGAAGCAACAGCAATCCAGCAGAGAGAAATTACTAAGAGGCAGAAGGGTGAGGGTGGTGGTGGAACAGGAGGAAGGTAAAAGGATACGGAGAAAAGATCTAGAGAGCACAGCTATGATGCAGGTAAAAACATAGGTGTGTACTATGTAAATATATTAATTCATAAAAATAGAGGTATTTGGCCTATGTGCATCTATTTATATGGCAATACATTGAGGAGTGGATGGACTTTGGGCCTCTGCTCAAGCCCTCTCTCAACGCAAGAACCTGGCATTCTGTGGTGCTCACCCTCTGGACGTGCTCCTTGACAACGAAATGAGTGCATACACAAATGTGGTTGGGGCATAAATTTGAATAATAGTTGCTATGATTGGATTTTCTTGCATGCAGATAGACATTGTCTTTCAAGACGGATTTTGAAATGTCCCTTTTGATTCTTGATTGGTCAATACCAGTCAATTTCAGCTCACTGATATCTAGAATATTGATCTTTATGCATTCTGTTTCATTTTTTTAGAGCTTCCAATGATTCCAGATTCATGCTCTGTCTGTTCCTAATCCTGATGATTAATTTATGTTGGCAAATGTTTCTTCTCCTTGGAAGGCATGCCCCCTAAGCCAATGAAGTTCCCAAAGGCTCTCCTCCCTCACGATCACACACGCTGACTCGGCGCGGAGAAGGCAGCTCCTCCTCAGTGATACTGTGAAGGCCTCTCCACCCACGGGCTTCATCTTCTGCCAACCCCTCTGAAAATGCTCTGCTTCTGTTCTTTAGGTTTGCAGTACCTGACACTATTTCTATGCTATCTGTGGGGTTTTCGGTAGCAAAATCCTCTGAAATGCATAGCCTATTCCTTCCTCATAGTTTATTTTTATCTGGTACCTCTGCTGAAATCTTTTCATTCAGTGCGAACCTGCTTGTATTTGAAATACTAGTAACAGAGCAGTCAGAATCACAGCACGACACCACCACAGTACACTTGACAAACGGACGGACAAGAGGTGAACATTTTGCATCAGGTTTTATTTCCTCGGTATTTAAACAACACGAGGAAGACCGAACAAGAATCGATGAGTTTGAATTGTGGCGCTGGCAGAGGATTTTGAAAGTATCACGACTGCAATGGGACAAACAACTCTGGCCTGGAAGAAGCACAGCCAGGGCTCTCCTTAGAGCACCTGGGGCATGTCGTGCGGAGAAGCCAGGCCTAGAGGAGGGCATCATGTTTGGTAAAGTGGAAGGGCAGTGAAACAGAGGAAAGCCCTCAAGGAGAGGGGCTGATGCAGGGGATGCCACAACAGGCTCCAACATGAGACCTTTTGTGAGGATGGTACAGAACCAGGCAGTGCTTAGCTCTGTTGTCCTCAGTCGGGGGCACTATGGGTCAGAACAGGCTCGATGGCACCTGGCAGCAAATACTTAAACCACAAGCATCTTTGAAAATGAAAATTACATTACTTAAAGGAAAACTATACCTCAACAAATCAGAAAGAATAATTGGTAAAGAGAGAGAGAAAAGGGAGGATCAGAAATGGTATCACTTGTGCTAAGGTCTACTATGGCCTGTACTCACAAAGAGTAAGGCGAATTTAACTTAGGCAAGTATCTGTTAAAAGGAAAATGGTAGCATGAATCTGCTTGTTTAATTTTTTAAGGAAGAAAATTAGCCAACCTCTACTTAATTAATTTAGTAGTCCATATTGAGAAAGAGATCAGATCTGCTGATCATATTATATTTCAATAACTCCTTTGTCTATATAGAAAATTCAGTGTGGTAGTTATATAATTGTCAAATTAAGGATTAAGCATATGGGGGTGGAGTCTAACCTGTCAATCAGGTCATAGCTAATGAGGCTTCTGTGTGGGCATAGCCTTCCCCTAAGGATTCTGGGAATTCCGGTATTTCCAACTTGGAGGTGGGAGACTCTGCTCACACCCTGGGAGACATAGCAGCTGACAAGGCACATGGACTCACCCTGATCCAGCCCTGGGTGCTGGAGAAGCCATGCAGAGACCCCTGCCAGCACTGAGATGTTTCCACTGCCCCTGGATCCAAAGACTTTCTACCCACTGGCCTATGATCTACATTCAGCGTCATTGCCTATGTTTTGTGAGTCTGAAGAGGACTTTGTAGAATGGTGTCAGACATATGGGCTAATATTGGACTTATGGACTTGATTTGAACTGGGCTGGGATGTTTTCTCAATTTTCAATTGCTCTTATATATAAATGTCTTTCTTATACATATAGGTGTGTCCATGGATTTGTTTCTCTAGTCTACCCAGACTAACACACCCAGTGTCCATTCATAGAGAGCCATATAATTCAAGAGGGAAAACAGAGGCAATCAAATAGTTCTTTATTGATCTACAGATATATAACATGTAATACCATAAATAAATCACGAACGATGACCATGGAAAACACACGAATATGGATTTTCTCAATTAAATTTGTTGTTGCCTTCTCTCACTGGGAACCCAGTACATACCACTTTGCATTCAGTCTCATTGAAAGGAGGACAGACCATACTGTAGTTCAGAATCATTGCCCCTTCATCAGTCTTAACACATTCATATGTGGTGCAATTATAGTCCCAGGTACTCCCCTCCTAAAACCAAAAGGAGAAAGTAACTGTTTCTTCATAATGAAATGTGCAAATTCCTTAAGTAAAATATGTGTCATCATACTGAATCAAAAATCAAATCAAGATAGAGATTTTTCTGTTATAAAGTATGCCATCTGAAAATGCCTCACAATTTATTATTTTATAATTAATAACAAAATATTAGAGCAAGACTTCTGACATTCAACAATTGCCACGTTAAATATGTAATTATGTAATAGAGAAACAAATAGATATTTGTTTCCAATATAAAATTAATTGCCCATTTGGCCAAGTGTCAAAGGCCTTGTGCTTAGCACTTTTCCACTAATTAAAAAACAACAAATCATATAACTTGTACACCTCCCATTTTAGGATTTGTTTATTCATCCTTCTACACCCTTATAGCCAAGAAATTAAAAATCTCCTTTTAAGATAATGCTTATTAATTTATGGTTCTAACTTTGTATATCTTTACAGTTATTTTAGGAAGCCTGGTGGCCTAGTGAGTTATGAACTGGGCTGCTAGCCATAGAGTCAGTCAGCAGTTCAAACTCATCCCCGTCTTCCTGGGGAAAGATGAGGCTTTCTGCTCCCACAAATATGTGCAGCCTCAGAAACCTACAGGGGCAATTCTACATTTCCATAGTCTCACTATGAGACAGAATTGGCTCAATGGCGATGAGTTTGAGTTTAAAAAGTTTTTAAAGCCATATTCCTATGTTTTAAAATAGTGTCAAATATTGCAACTATTCATCTAATTTTTAATTTTATAATTTCTATTTAAAAATAAAATCCGCTGAACACTAATAGCGAATGAACAGAGAGGACAACAGGGTCAGGCCCAAGCCCTGCTCCCGAGAAGAAGCCAATAGAGGACAACGCTGAAGATACAGACTTGGAGAAAGGTGGGTCTGTCTAGACCACACGGGAGCAGGAGTGAACTAAAAGGGAGAGAGAGAGAGAGAGAAACTCATCATGGCCCACCAAGCTCCAGGGACGACATCCCTGCTCAGAGCAGCCAATGCACAAGGCATGACATTCCCTCACTGACCCATAGTGCTACAGGGACAGCACTGGAGACACAGTGTGGAAAGTGTGCCTGGTCTGCCCCATGCACAGCGGGTGAAACACAAAGGGATTGCAACAGGGCAGCAAGGGGAGCAAAGTAACCAAGTCCCCCAGGAATCCTGAAAATAGCCTTCTGACTTGGAGAACAGGGCTTGGCAACTCATCAGACTTGATCAGAAAACATACATAAGGGTCAGCAGACCTGGAATTATCTACTGTTTTGATTTTCTTCCCCTTCTTTTGTTTATTTGTTTTTGTTTTTCTTTTGACCTATGCCTATCTATATAAGCTAGGCAGAACAAACAATCTCAAGGGACCCAGGGGGACATGTGAGAGGAGGGAGTGGGAAGAGGGAGTGGAGTGCCAACAAACTCAGAGATAAGGGAACAACAAAATATCTATAATTGATGATCCATAATGAGGGTGCATAATGCCTGGTGGGGTTTAATCAAGTGCAATCTATCCGAGAAGAAATACTGAGAGCTGAATGGAGGGTGAGCATAATAGTGGGATAGGAGGAAAATGAAAGGAAATAGAGGAAAGAAATAGGAGGCAAAAGCTATTTATAGTAGTATAGTGATAGGCATGTATATATGTAAATATATTAATTTATAATGGAAGGGATAGAGGCCAATTTACATAAGATAGCAGAAGGATTTAAGGCTTCCCTTAACCCAAGAACACTTTGTTCTCATAGCCTGGCACTGTTTGATAGTCACCTTCCCAACACTACATGATCACTGAAGACAAAATGGGAGTGTAAGGAAATGTAGTGAAGAGAGCAGATGGTGCCTGGCTATAAAAAAAAATAGTGTCTGAGGTATTAAAGGCTTGAGATGAAACAAGCAGCCATCTAGTAGGGAAGCAAATAAGCCCACATGGAAGAAGCACACCAGCCTGTGTGATCATGAAGTGTTCATGGGATCAGGTATCAGGTATGAAAAAATCAAAAGCAAACAACTATATTGGTGTGAAGAGGAACATTGGAGTGGAGACCCAAAGCCCATCTGTAAACAATTGGATATCCCCCCACAGAAGGGTTATAAGGAAGGGATTATTCAACCAAGGTTCAGTATAGTACCAATGAATCACATATCATTCCTCTAGTTCCTGAATGCTTCCTCCTCCCACTCCTCCCCTTACCATGACCCAGTTCAACCTTACAAATCTGGCTAGACCAGGAGAACACACATTGGTACAAATAGGAGCTCTCAAGACATGGAACTCAGGACAGATAACCCCCTCAGGAACAGTAGTGGGAGTAACAATATAATGAGGGTAGGGGGATGGTTGGAGAGGGGGGAGGGGGAGAAAGGGGGAATCCATCACAAGGTTGGATATATAGCCCCCCCTCCACAGGATACAAATAATAGAAATGAGTGAAAGGAGACAATGGACAATGTAAGATATGACATAATAATAATAATTGATAAATTAGCAAGGGTTCATGAGGGAGGGCAAAAAAGAGGAGCTGATACCAAGGGCTCAAGTAGAAAATGTTTTGGGAATGATGATGGCAACATATGTACAAAAATGCTTAACACAATTGATATATGGAATGATATATAAGAGCTGTAAGAGCCCCCAATAAAATGATTTTAAAAAAACATATTCCTACTCTTTAAATGAATGTCTTGAACATCACAACTATTCACCTAATTCTTAATTTAATAATTTCTATTTTAAAAATAAAGTCAGCTGAAAATTAAAATTATAGGATGGCCATTTGCATCTGTATTTTTATTTTACTAATCCAAATTTTAAAAGCCTACTAAAATTTTGGCCTGGAGTCCTTTGGAGACTAATAAATAATTTTTAATGATCCTGACAACTTTGCTTTCTCTAGATTCTATCCTAATATATGAAAGGCTTAATGTCTTCTATAAATCTTAACAAGAAACGATCTGCAAGTTCAGTATAAAAGAAACAAAATAAAATTTAATTGTTACATATAAATTAAATTTCTGGAAAGCTATACCTTGCCCTAGAGAAAGTCAAAAGTTGATATTATGTATATTTACCTATATTGTATTGTATGTTGTGTTTAAATATATGTTATCAACATAATTTAACCTTTTAGCAAAATCTCAGGGCTAATTCCATTACTGTTAGTTTTGTATATCAGTGTTTCCTAAATTACTGACATCTTGAGAATTTATATTGTTCTTTATTAAGGTCCCCAAGTTACCATGGTTTTCCCAGAAATACTTAATTCTTTCTCTTTTACTGGCACCTATATCTTCTCTACATTTTATAAGTTCCTATCAAGACTTCCTTTTGTATAAAACATAGAAAACAAATGTTATTTGGATAAGCTAGATAAACATTATCCAAAGCTTTAATGATTTAAATCAACAACATTTATTTACACAAAACTAAGATAATCAGTTATGGCACTAAAGGATAGTTTTTCATGTTTACATTTGATGAAATGTATAAATTTGGAGAAATCTGCTTTTCAGTTGACTTTTTGACTATCTTCACATCTCTACAGGGTTATTGTGAATAATGAGAGAATTCTGAGTAATTTTCATATTGTTTTGGGGGGAAAAGTGTGGTCCCTTGGATCTTTGGTATCATTAGCTCTGTGTTTGAGTGGAATTAACTACATATGATTCTTTTGTTTGCTGTCACTCCTACCCAATGATTAGATGGGGCTATGCAAATAAGTAGGGAGAATTCTATCTCGTAGACTGGTGATTTTTGTCTTTCCTCTGAGTGTAAAAGAACCATCTCAGAAGCAGAAATAGAGATAATCCTGGAACCCTCAAAAAAGGTCAGCCACCAGCTCCAAAAAGGTCAGCTGGGATGTATGAAGTTCCTGTCTGAAGTGGCAGCAGCAGCAGCAACCACGGCTCAGAGACCTTGAAACAGAGCAGAGGAGTCACTGCGACTACGAAATGGTAAGCAGTCAGGCAGGCTTCCTAGGGCACAAAGGAAAAGACCGAGAGACCATCTGACTGAGCATCAGGACCAGCGAGAAGCTCTGCTGCTGGCGGAGGAGAGGCACCGCTATGGACCAAAGACTATCGATTCTTAATGTTTTCTGATCTTGGCATGTAGTAACTTGTTAACCACCCTCATAGTCATGAGTATTGTCTGTGAGTCATGTGTCCACTGCCACGAATGATCAAATCCAGCCAGAGAAATAGAGTGTTGTGACAAGCAGGGATGGCTGGGGTCAGGCTGGAAGGGTGCAGGCATTGGATCTCTATCTTTTGGGAATTGGCCTGGGGATGATGTGGGGTTGTACTCTCCTTCTACTCTTGGTAACTCTAGTTGGTCAGAGGTGTCCTCCACACCATGTCCTCAGATCCTTACAATCATCTTTCATAAAAACGGTCAAATGTTTTCATTTCCCCCTCTGTTTTACCCACTGAATATTTCAATATCAAAAATGGAAAATTGCTAACATGTTGAGTTTCAGATTTCTATTAAAACGCTTTATGAATAAGTAAAACATTACCGACCCTAACCTTTGAAATGAGGTCACTCACCTCGATGCAGTCAGTTGTGACTTACAGCCATTTGATAGGGCCGGGTACTCTTGCCCCTGGAACTTCCCAAGACTTACATATTTATGGGAGTAGAGAGCCTCATCTTCCTCCTGAGGATCAGCTGGTGGGTTCGAACTATGAGCTGTGTAGTTAGCAGCCCAACTCACAATGCACTCTGCCACCAGGACTTCTCTTATAATGATTAGGAATCAGGGTTCCCCAAAACCCCTTCCTCATATCGAGAGGGGAGGGGAGTGAAAATCTTCAAAACTACGTTTGGGAAACAAATTACACATGTTTTTCAACATATAAATTATCAGCTCCTTTAAAATGCCTTGTACATATGTTGTATCTATGTGTAAATTATATGTGGAGGTGTGTGTATGTGTGTTTGCCATTCCCCAAACTAAAGCATATCTTCTTGACTAAAGCATACCTTCTTAAAAAAAACAACACCACAAAGAGTTATCTTCCCAGAAACACATTTTAGGATATAAGAAATTCATACCTCATATATAACTGATGTTCCATTGTCCATAGAAAATTTGCAGGAAACATTTTTGCAGGTCCCACAACAATCATAATCACTCGGAGATGGAACGTATAACTGGTGCTGCATGTAACAAGAATACATTCCTCTAGCCACAGTCAGCGCTCCAACACTTTGCTATGAGTTGGCTTCTGAAGTTGTGTCCAAAATAACTATTCTTTTTCTATATAGAAATGCAAGCATTTCTGAGGTGGAGTGTGAAGAGCTTTAATAATCACTGTTGTATAGAGCTATATTAGAAGTGTACTGGATGTCACTTTTTATTCTAGAAGCCAATCAAACAACCCACACACAGTAAGATGCCTGAAGCTCTATGGTCATACAAGGGAATGTGAAGATCTAAATTATTTAGATAGATCACATATGAATAAGTTGTTGAAGAATTACTCAATTATATATACATCTATTTTACTCATAGAGCAGACACTATTTCAAATTCTGGAGGTGCCACTTAAAGATTCATGAACTCTCACTAGTTCCACGGAGAACAGGTACTTACAATGTCACATTCTTTTGAACAATTCACCATTGTAAAATTCAGAGCATGGTAGCCTGTGTAGTTATCTTTCTCTTCCAGACACTCTACTATATAGCAAAAGTCCCCTTCCAAATACTTTGTTATTGATTGGCCAGGATTCAGTACTGAAACATCTTGAAATACACATACATTGTCCTTTTCTAAGAAAAGAAAAAGAAAAAAAATATATATATAGTCAACAAGAAATTTTTTTTAATTTTTATTCATTGATCAATGGAATTTTAAGTCTGTCTTTAGGCTGTAATATGCCATTTTCTCAAAACCAAGAGAAAACTTTTATTTTTATATAACTATATAATATAAACAACCCAGGAGTTTACTTAACAATTAATACAGTGCATTTATTTCTTCCTTAATATACAATAAGAAATTGATCCATAAATCACCTGCTGTTCAATGTTGGAGGTTCTTTTACAGCAAGTTCTGGGATGTGAGATTTTTAGGGGGTCATAGTATTTGTTACCCACTTTTCAGAAACATGACATGACATTTGTGGATGTGGATGAAGGCAAAACCTAATTCAATAACAATATGCCTTTCCATGATGTGATTGCTTAATATTTCATAAATTTAATAATTATTTTCAGAAGATTCTAAATTTTATTCTGTTGCAAAATAAAAAGTCATGTAAATCCTGTTTCATGATGGAGGTAGCTGATTTAATATTCTATTGTATCTTTTAAAATGGTATATTAGGGAAGGCTGGATTAGCAATGAAAAATTCTGTTTCCAAGCCGTTTATGCCACTGTGACAATGAAATTAGGCTCGCACATAAAAATACAAAAATGTCAAGCTGTTGAATAAGTTTTCTTTTTTATTGCTTACTTATACTTAATATGAAGAGTTGATGTTTCATAGGAAAAAAATCAACTTTATTTTTGCTTTAAAATGTTAACATCAGTAATTTAACAAGAAAAAACTTCATATGTTTTGATGTTGTGTTTTAAATATTCAGTATACAGGAAAAATATAGTGACCACTTAAGAAACCTGAAAGATCTCTGAAACAAATAATTTTTTGTCATGTTATCAAATTTCAGAATACTCAGAGATAATACAAAATAGAAGAATAATCATATTTTTAATACTCAAAAAGAGGTGAATGCTCCAAAAGTTTATGGGGGAAATCCATTATATTTTAATTTTTAATCCAATTTTTCCATTTTCCACAAACGTCCTGAAGCTTCCTCATATTTCAAAGAGCATCACTTATAACTAATATGCGTTAAGAACAATTGCCAACAATAGTGCTTCAAAAGCGACAAAACACATACTTACCACATAGATATTGTACACAACCACAGTCACTCTGAAAGTTGTGGTCAATTGTAGAAAATTCTCCCTATTAAAAAGATAAGACTTATTATATGGCAATGGCAAAGAAAAACCAAAAACCACACATGATAACATCTAATAAGTTCCCTTTCACGGAGGCAGACGTAGAGCAGGGACTTAGTGCATGCCAAAAAAGCGCCCAACTCACGGGCATCAAGTCGATGGTGACTCACAGAACCTCCGTGGGACAGGGAAGAACTGCCCCGTGGCTTTCCAAGACGAACTCACGGCAACGGGAAGCCCATCTGCCGCCCTTCAAACTGCTGACCTGTCAGATCGCAGCCCAGGTAGCAACCACTACACCACCAGGGCTCCACTGAGTGCACACTTGGTAGTAAACAGGCTTGGATTGATTTAATAGTCATTTAATAATAACTCACAATAAGCTCACCATAGATGCTATGAACTCAAATAATCATTATACTTACCATTATGATATATTTCACACTATCGATCATATATAAGTTTATTATATATTGACTTAGCACATACTGATAAATGTATGATTATGGTAAATGTAAGAAACCACATGATTGCGCACTACTCTATTACTCTAAATTCCAATTGCTCGATCTATAATTATGTAGGTTGAAATTATTTTGAGTTTCTAGTAAACAATAGGAGAGGTGACCTGGAAACTTGGTTAGCTGGAAATGTTCTTGATCTGCTCTAGGAAGTTAGCATAGAGCCTTCTCAAGTGTGTATGGGAGCGAGTCTGCACCCTGCACCCCCGAGCAAGGCTGCTACAGCAAGTAAATGAGGAGCAGAAGTGTAAAGTAATAGCACAGGCTCAGGATGGGACAGTCTGTGCTGATCTTGGCTCAACTACCTACTCATTCTATTGTCTAGGGCACTAGTTATTTAATCTATGTGTCTCATTTATCTTATCTATTAAATAGGGATAGTAATTCTGCCTATCTCTTAGGATGGTTGAGATAAATGAAAGGGTCAATATGAAGAATGCTGTATAGCCATCCGTGGTTCTTATGCCAGGTACTCCGTCTTTCCCATATCATCTAGGACATCAATCTGTATGAGCAAGCTGGGGAGATGCAAATGGTGGAGCATTCAGCTGCCAGCTGAAAGGTTGGTGGCATGAACCCACCCAGAGTGCCTCAGAAGTCAGGATTCGCTTATGAAAGGTCAACTCTTTAGGGCTAGGACGTGGTGCCCCAACAGACTGGACTGGAAAACACTCCTAAAGGCCAACAAATGATTCTTGAACTAACTACAAGCTTTTCTTTCTTGTTGTATTTTGTTTTGCTCTTGGTCAGTAGTTTGTTGTTGTTGTTGT